CGAGGGAAAACCAGTTTCTCCTGAGACATCTCAATTCTCCAGCGAGTGTTTAAATAACTTCACGAAGTGCAAAAATCAGCTCGGGGTGGTGGGGTGTCCCCAGGAGGGCCCCGCTCTTTCAGAGGCAGGGGTGTGTGTGAGATGCTGGGACCCTGCACCTTCAGCCTGGTACTGCTGCGTCCCCTGGCACTGCTCCATCCCCGCAGTGGGGGGGTGCTCCAGCCTCTCCACCCTCCCCTTGGAGAAAACACACAGAATTTCTTGACACCTCCCTGCCCCCTTCTCCACCTCCCAGCTGGAGCCCCAAGAGTCAAAAAACCTCTGAGCGTCTCTGCCCGGGAGCTCTTCAGCAGCCACAAAGTTTGTGTTCATGTGAGAAGGAAAAAATCTCTTGTGATACGGATATTCAACATATATTTAAAGTCAGTCGAGGCATAGCCAGCCATCGCCTCCCGGAACGTCGGGCCAGAGCATGAGCCAGCGCCTGCTCCCCCAAGGTGTCAGCCCGGAGGATGCCCCAGCTCGGTCTCCCTGGGGACTCGGAGGGGCGGCTGCCCGCGTCCTTGCCACCCCTCAGGCAAGAAAAAGGGGACCCCCGCTGCAGTGTGTGTCCCCCCACCGCTGGCTCACGGGGACGATGTGGGCTCCCTGCTTTCAGGCTTGTCACTTTTGGAGGACTTTGGCTTCAGCAAGATGAACCTGTTGAGGAGGTCGGTATCCGAACTGGCCTGGGCACCTGCGTACGCCTCCCCTGGGGACGAAGCAGAGGGGTGGGCTTGTGCCATGGGGGACGCCCCGGGGGCCAGAGGGGCAGCGGCTCCTCGCTGGGGGACAGGGACACTCACCGGCGTAGCTGGAGGACTCGGCCATGTTCTGGGAGCCGGTGATGTGGTGCCAGTAGGCGCTGCGGGGCAGCATGGTGGTGGGGGTGCAGGGGTAGGAGAAGTGCTCAGTGCCCTTGTTCAGCAGCTGCAGAGGACGAGAAGGGGGTGAGGGTGACACGGGGCACCCCAAGCGCCCCCTCTCCACCCGCCAGCCGTGTCCCCAGGGTAGGCTGGAACTCACCCTGACGTTCTTCTCCATCTCCAGCAGGACCCTCTTATGCTGCTCGGCGATGGCCAAGGTGGCACTGTGCACACGCTGGTAGATCTGCTCGCCCTCCTGCGTCTGGAAGGTGTAGAGACCTTCCCCCGCATCACACATCCTGCGGGGACAGAGCACAGTGCATCACCAGGGTGCACCACCTTCTGATGTGCCCAGCAGGATGAAGGCACCCAACGGCAGTCCCCATCCCAGCAAGGGTGACATCTCACCGCCCAGCCTCGAAGGTGAAGCGGGTGGCGTCGCGCCCATAGCGGCGCAGGGAGCAGAGGGGCCAGGAGACCAGCTTCACCCGGGGATTGTGCGTGTCCCAGAGGTAGATGTTTTCGTGGGTGATCTGCAGCTTGCACTCGCCGTAAACGTCCAGGTTGGGGCAGGGGAGGAGGAACACGTTGAACCGGTCTGGAGACGGGGGGCGGGGAATAAAAAAAATAATTTAGGGGAGCGTAGCGAGGCCGAGCCCCGATCGAGCGCCCCACCACTGCGCGCTCACCCGTCTGCTCACACTGCACGCCGGGCGCCAGCAGGTCGGGCTCCCCCAGGCTGATGTCGTTCAGGCGGGCGCCCAGGCACTCCACCGACAGCGTCTTGTACCACTCCTCCGCCTCCAGCTCTGCAAGGCACAACAGCAGCCCCTGGGCAACCCTGGTCAAACCAGGGTGCCCCCAACCCGGCAACCCCCAGCCCAGCTCCCCTGGCCGCTGCTCTGTACCCGAATCGCAGGTGAAGGTCCGGGCAGAGTCGTCGGTGAAAACGATGGCCACAGCCTGTCTCTTGGTCTCCTTGGGCAGCCGGGTGATGCACTTGACATTGCTGATCTCGGTCACCTGTGGAGGAGGTAGGGGGGGTCACTGAGGGCTGCACCAAAACCCAGCCCCACTGCACCCAGACCCTGTCCCCTGCTGCACCCAAATGCGGCCACCGCTGCACTCAGACCCTGTCCCCTGCAGCATCCAGACCTGTCCCCTGCTGCTCCCAGACTGCATCCAGAGCCCAGTGGCACTGAGATCCTGTCCCCTGCTGCCCCCAGACCTGGCCACTGCAGCATCCCGACCCTGGCCACTGCTGCACCCAAACGTGGCCACCACTGCACCCAGACTGCACCCAAAGCCCAGTGGCACTGACACCCTGTCTCCTGCTGCCCCCAGCCCTGGCCACTGCTGCCCCCCTACCCTGTCTCCTGTGGCACCCAGCCCCTGTCCCCCGCTGCCCCCAGGCTGTCCCCAGAGCCCCGTGGCATGCAGCCCCCAGCCCCTGCTGCCCCCAGCCCTGGCTGCATCCCACCACAGCGCACGGGGGTGGGGGGGTGACAGCCGCCGGAGCTTCAACCCAGCAAGTTTTGGCGAGGAGGGACCAGCTCGGGCAGGGGGCCCTGAGGGCGGGCAGCCCCCCAGCAGCCCCCCACCGCAGCCCCTCACCTTGGGGCACCCACGTAGGCACGCCGCCTTCTCATCCGGGTACTTCTCCAGGCGCTGGGGCCCTTTGCTGGAGGATTTCCGGAAGACCAGCCAGCACCGCCGGTAGATCTGCCGGACAGAGCCAGTGGGGGTCCCCGTCCCCACCCTGTCCCCATGTCCCCAGCCCTTTCCCCAGGACCCCTGCCTGGTCCTGCTGACCACCACCCCCACCCCGGGGACAGCCCCGCGGCTGCCATCATCCCTCCATCCCTAATTACAGAGCTTAATTAACGAACATGGGCAAGGCTCCCAAGGGGACCCCCCATCCCTGTATCTCCCCGCCCCCTCTCCCGCAGCCCCTTCCTCTGGGGGTGGCGGGGCCATCGTCCCCGAGCATTCCCCCCCCCGCCCTGCGCGCGCTC